TATATAAATACATAATATAAATGTTACTTACTATGATTCCTGTTGGAAAATAGAATATTGATGGAGATCCCTTTTGTTTTCTGCTCTCCTCATCATTTAACAGAATAGACCAGCAATCAATGACTTTGTGGTGGATGTATGCATCTGGGATTAATGTTTCAAAGAAAATTCTTTCTACTGCATCCCTATTTCTTGTTCTGAATATGATTTTCCTGTTAATATATATTAAGTTGTGAATATTTCTAAAAAATTAATTTTTGTTTCATAAATTAATTTTAATTAACTTTTTATTAAAAATATTTACTTACTTGTGGTTCCTTTGCATTGAAAATATTAAGTTTGCAATTAGTATCTCTTCATTAAATACCACGTCTTTTGCTTCCACTGTTCGACCACTGTAATGAGTGAAGTAACTTTCTCCTTTTTCTTTTCTGATGCTTTTTTCCATGTTTCTCTTCAATAAAAATTTCTTTTCCTTTCCCTTTATTTCCTCCATCTTTTTTTGTTTGAATTTGCACTTCATTTTTTTTTCTTCTCTGTTTATCTGTTCTTCATCTTTGCTTGATCTTGTAGAAGGTTTTGGAGAGTTTACATCATCTTTGACATCTGGGGTTAGTCCAAGTGAAAAAGATGGTTGAGAAGACGGTTTTTGAATGAGTGGTGTGCAAGTTGAAGCATTTTTCTTTAAGCTTTCTTCAACAACTTTGTCAACCACAGGCATAAATTGTTGGTGACTCTAATGTTGGTGTGAAAGCTGATGATTTTGGAATAGATTGAGAATCAATAAGTGATGGTGTTTTTTGAGTTGTATCGACTTTGTCTCCTTCTTCAGTTTCTTCCTGTGTTGCTGTTGTTTGATACATACCAGTTTCTTGATGTTGTTCTGCATCCACCTGTGTTTTCAACTTCAGTGTGTTGTACTTGATTATCTTTCAGTATATACAAAACTATTGCTTTTTGAAATGCAATATCGTTTGTCGGATTTTCATCTTCTGATTCTTCTATTTCCTTTTCAACTTGAACTTCATTTTCATTCACTTTTGATGTTTCACCAATATGCTTCTTGAATAAACTCTCATATTTCACAATCCATCTTTTGATTTTTATGTTATCCGGATGATTTTTTTTTTGCCTTCACTAATGTCTCTTCCATTCTCTTTTTGTAAGCTAATGCCATTTTGTAATCTTTTTCTATCATGAAGCAAAATCCCTGTAGTGTATGTTTTTTGTTAGTTTATTATAAACAAGATTTCAATTAAAATGTGAAATTCAGAACTAATTCACAGTTTATATAAACATGTGTTACGTTTTATATTCACATATTAATGATTAATTTTTCTATATTATTATTTTTAAACTTTTTTTTATCATCAAGAAAAATCCATGTGGTGTATGTATTTTGTTATTTCATTATCAAAATAAAGATAGTAATATTATATTTAATGATATCCACAACTTAACAACAAATTCACAGTTTAATAATCATGTCTTTTCATGTGTTATGTTTTATATCTAAATGTTAAAATTATATTCGTAGTTTATTAATATTTTATAAGTTGTATTACCTCTAAACCAATATCCTCATTGTCATCTGAATCTGAAAATTCCTCTTCATTCTTTTCATTATCTTCCTCATCCAAATCAACATATTCTTCTTCATCATCTTCAAGCATCTCCATATTGTCCAAAATTTGTACCATTCCAAATTTTCCATTTGCAATTTCATTTGTTTGTCTTGTTTTCAGTCCCAATTAGTTCCAGAAGTGAAGTGGTATTATCTTCTGTTAATGAACTGTTGTTGAACACATTGAGTTCTATGCACATACAAAAGTTGTAAGATACATGAAAACAACATAAGTTTGATTAACAATTAGTATTAATATTTTATTTATGAGAAATGAATTAGTGTTTTAAATTATTTTACAATTAGAAATGGTAATGGTCCAGCAGTAGTAGCTGTTTTACAATTTGGCTTCCAAATTTTTTTACTTTTAACCAATGTGTGATTGATTTACTTGCACCAATTGATATTTTCTTTGTCTCAACTTCAATCAACTTCAGCAAAGATCTTGTTTTCTATGGCTCCAGATGTTGTTTTCTCTATGATTGAGTTGACAAAAGTACAATGAAGTCAGCACAAACATCTCATCTGCATTTGGCGATTGTTCTATAGATCTACGAGTGCTTGAGTAGACTTTGTAATTTTTGGAAGTTGTTCTTTCCATTTAATCAATGTGCTGTTATCTTGTTCATAGTCATCAACTGTTTCAAGATCGATGCCTTCATTTTTTTAAGCCAAGAGAATTTCCCTATTGTTTTTTATGTTTGCTATTCTCCATGTCCTAAGTCAATGGAGTTTGTTATATGGTTGTAGCTAAAAACAGAAAAGAAGCCTATTTTTGAAGGAATCACATCCAATGTCATCTTTAAAACTGATCTTAAACCTAAGTTTTGTACACAAGCTCTTTGTTCACTGCTCAATATCTTTACAGCTTTCCATAAGCTTTGTTTGCAACGCTTGTTCTTAATGGTTGAAACTTCTCATCATCTTCTCCATGATCTGTTTTAGCTTTTTTATTTTTCTTTTTTATTGTTTGTTTTTCTTTCCGTTTCTTTCCTTTTTCTCTATAAAAAATTTCATTATGTAATGATGAGGAACTATTATATGAGAAATTAAATAATTACTCAATTATTTATATATAGTTTTAAAATGTACCTTGAACTTCTTGTTCCTTTTCCTTTTTCTTCATTTTCTGCTTTTTCTTCTTGTCAACAACTTTATCTTCTTCAAAATTCATAAGTTAACAGAGAATTCACAGTTTAATCATGAAAATATAATTAAGAAACTTTTTATATTGTACCTTGATTTTTTTGATGTATGTTGTTAGGTGTTTGCAATCTTATTTGTCTTGTTGTCCCTTGAACATATTTATCTTTCTGTTTTGATTTTTTTTATCAAACTGCTTTTACCCTTATTTGAAAATGTAATTAATAGGAAAATGAAATTTTATGATTTTTAAAAATAAGAAACAATTTTTTTTTATAAATGTATGATACCTTTATCATTTGATTGTTTTGGTTCTTGTATTTGAAGAGCTCTTGTTGTTTGTTTCCTTATGATACCTTTATCATTTGTTGTTTGTCATAACTGTTTTTGTAGTTTCTTTAGATTCACTTTCTTTATTTTCTTTTCTTTTGTTTTCACCTGTACATTTTAACATTAAATCATGTGTTAGTTAATGTATATTATAAATTTAAAACTTAATATTAAATATGTGATATTTTATATACAATAAAGGAAAATTCACAGTTTAATTTTTGTATATGTGATATATACATAAAGTTAACATTGTAATATTCAATAATCACAATTTTAAACCATTATCATTATTCACAGTTGAACACCATTATTTTAAATTTATAAATCTATAAAATCATTAATATATATTCACATTATAAACTTAAACATTCATAATTCAAAATTATTATTACCATGTCAATTTAAAACTATTTTTATATTCAAATCTATAAAATCTCAAATTCATAGTTTAACACAGTCATACTTTTTAAAAAAAATTAAGTTATAACAAAATCATCTAATATTTGTTCATTTTTCAAGTTTTTTGAATTTATTAGTTTTTATACAGTATTTAGGGTTTTACCTTTTTTGATGACGGTTGCTTTGTTTGTAGGTTGAGATTCTTCTGTTGAAATCATCCTCTTCGATGTTTGTTCTTTTTAGTCGTAGTTTTGATCGTTGTGAATTGAGCTTCTTCAGCTGAAATATTCATTGTCATTTCTTCATCGGTTGAATTATCTGTCGATTTTTTTTCCAAATTCTATTGTTTTACGCATTTTTGTCATCGTATTGAATAGAGATTTCTGTTGAATTCTCGGTCGATTATTTCCAAATAAGTTGAATAGATCGTTGATCGTGTTGCAGTGAATTGAATTAGGGAGTTTTGTTGTTTTGAAAAAGTCAATGAATTTAATTAGGGTTTTGATTTGTTCCGGCATATTAATGAATCGGGTAATATGTTTTGAATATTCACGAAATTGCCACCGTGTTTTTTTGAATACATAGAAAACCTTCTATTTCGTGATAATTACAATTTATGCCATTCCGTGTTTTAACAAGGATTTTCCTTAATTAATTGGTTCTTAGGTTCTTAATCTTTTTTGGTTCCCATTTGAACCACTCCCTATAACAAGAAAACCAAACGTAACTAATTGGGTCAGTGAATAGAGATAATGTTATTTTTCTAAACCATTCTTTAAGCAAATTTTATTCCATTGACCGAACAAGTAGAAAAGGTTAAAAGGAAACTTCATAGCAAAAGCAGTGGACTAGGAGTAGCCGAATGGGGTGTTTTTCTTGCTCTCTACCAAAAGTTAGGCAACCAAATCAACATTTGTTTGTTGGTATGATTTAATACTTAATGCTTTGAAATTTGAATTGTATATCCGACGCATGGATATCATATACCTATAAAATACATGTTTTTAATCGCAATGTATGAGTTGTTTGGATTTTTGTTTTCAACGTGATTGGTGCAACATCAAGAATCAGATTTTCATATAAGAAACTAACATTTTTTTTTATATGTTACAAAACTAGATAATCATTTTTAGATTAATCCTAAAATCCATATTTTAGAATTCATTTTATTGCAAGGATTTTATGTGTGAACTTATGAAAGAACATTCAAATTCATTTACTAAAATTTATGCCAATCTGTCCCACCTCGCTCCTCTTTCACTTAAAATAATCTACAAGAAATAAGCAAGAAACTTCCTTCAAATCTTCCACTTCAAATCACCATTTTTTATTTTATTTTTTCCAACCACTTTCCAAACATTTTCTCCCAACCCCTTTTGACACCTTGACTTGACCTCCTACACACACGCATACGTCTTTATAAATCCATTCTCATACTTCACTAACATTCATATTCTTTTGTTTCATTCACCCAAAAAAAACATATTTTTAACCAATAACCATGACTTTCATGATAACTTCATTCATCCAATTCTTCATCGTCTCAACATCCAAGTTTTTCATCTACCCCAAACTCAATTTTTCCATGGATGAATCCAAGATTCATGTTGAAAAAAAGACCCAACATTCAAAATTATCAAAAAGGATGCCTTCGTTTAGAGATAGAAGCTTACGAAGAGATGAGGTGGAGATGGTGATGGGCAGTTTGGGAATTTCCAATCCTAAAGGCGAAAAAATCCCAGAAAGATTGAGTTCTAATGATGTTTTTAACATTTTTGAGGAAGAAAATCCAAATTTGGATGAAGTTAAGGGAGCTTTTGATGTATTTGATGAAATTAAAGATGGATTTATTGACGCAGGAGAGTTGCAAAGAGTTCTTTATGCTATGGGGTTGAAGGATAGAGCACAAATGGATGATTGCAAGAAGATGATTAGAGTTTTTGATGTGAATGATGATGGTAGAATAGATTTTGATGAGTTTGTGAAGTTTATGGAAGGAACATTTTGTTAATTTGTTGGATTCTATCTCTTTTGTTTTTCCTATATGTATCTATTAAAAGGTTAATGCAAAAAATAACGATATATTTCTATTGATTTATTTATTTATCATCTAAGTTTCATTTTTGCCTATTACAATGTTGTATTTTGGAAATTCTACTAATTATAACAATGTCATCCATTACGAATAAATTTTATTGCCATAACTGGGTAGGTTTTTCAAAATACAATGCCTTTATAAGTTTTTTTAGTTAATGTTGTAATAGATATAAATGAATTTAGAATGATATAATACAAAAATAAATGAAAGTATGTTACTATTTCCTTTAGCCCTATTTTAAATAAGGGCAAATTGTAAAAAAAAAAAAATCATTATATCTTGGATGGTTTTGCAGTTTAACAACTTACACTTTATTTTTTTGATTTTTTTTAAAATCAAACCATAAAGTTTTTTTTTTTTTTTTTCAAATTAACCATTTACACATGATATATTATAAATCGCCAATAATTTTCCAAATTAACCAGTTTTATTATATCCGGCCAAAATGTTTAACTTAGAGAAATATCATAATTATCATGGTTTAATTGGAAAAAGAATAAAGTATGACTAGTTAAACCATAAAATTGCCAAAATATAATGGTTTTTTTTTTTTTTTTGAATTTTTTTTAATAATTTTCCCATTAAGTTATGCTAATTCATTCTTTTTGGGAAAACTTTCAATTTGTATTCAAGGCTATCAATTCAAAATACCTTATCTTTCTCATACAACACCATGAACAGAAACTATGCAAACTAGTAATAATCTTAGAAAGACTAAAACAAGATTTATACACATCAATTAAACTAATCATGATCATAGAACTATATCACCTTAAAAATGCTCATTTTTCACCAATAATCTCCACACGAGCAACTTCCATCTTCAAAATGATGAAATTTCTTAACATCTCTTACAACAATCACCCTCTTCGTGACTTTTGAGATTAATTTCATCACACAATGACAATCATCACAAATCCTCAAATTCTTTATAATACGAATTGGCACCTCTTCATGTGTTTTCAATAAAGCATAAGCAACTGCAAGCTTCTCACTATGAAACCCAATATAATCTTCCTTTTGTTCATCTTCAACATCATGCAACACATCACCCGTATCAACCACATAACCAATTTCCTTAATTTTACAAAACAACTCCTTCAACTTTTCAAGAATGTCAATAAACTCCGGATGTTTCTTATCACCCGAAACAAACACATGTGTTTGATTCTTTATCTCCAACCAACTCAACCCGGGTTCTTTTTTTATTTTCCTTTTTTTCATTAATTCACGCACCTTTGTAACCCCACTAAAGTTTCTACCCTTAGCATGAATATTCGACAAAAGGGTATATGTCCCTTCATCTTTAGGGTCCAAATTTATAATAAAGTCTCCAACTTTTTCACCTAAAGTGTGATTTCTATGAACGTTACATGCACTAAGAAGTGTTCTCCAAGCAATTGTGTCCCATTTGATGTTTGTTGATAACATGAAATCGAAAGCTTCATTTAATCGTCCTAATTTGCTTAAAAGTCCAACTATGCAAGTATAGTGCTCTAATGTAGGGTCCACACCCTTTTGTTTCATTAACTTGTTCAAATAGTAAAACCCTTGTTCTACAAGCCCTAAATGTTCACAAGCAATAAGAACACCAACAAAAGTCACTTGATTAGGATCTTGACCCGATTTCAACATTTCTTGAAATAAATTCAATGACTTTTTACCAAAACCATGATGGGAGTATCCACATATCATTGTATTCCATGTTATAATATCACGAGAAATCATACTTAGAAATATCTTTTCTGAAGATTTAATGTCACCTATTCTTGAGTACATATGAATCAAAGCATTTGTAACATTCGTATGATTTTTGAAACCTGTTTTCTTTATAAGTCCATGTAACGAGTGTCCATATCCTATAGATGGTAGTCCACCACTAGCATTGAGTAACACAGAAAAGGTAGATTCATTAGGGGCAATATCGTCATTTTGCATGGTGAGAAATAATTTTAAAGACTCCTCAAACGACCCATGTTGTGAATAAGCATCCAAGATTGATGTCCATGAAACCACATTTCGAGTTTTAAACATGTCAAAAACTTTTCTAGCACTTGAAATCTCTTTACATTTTCCATACATGTTGATGATTGAAGAAGATACATACACATCAAACTCAACATTGCTTTTTAACAACTTGTTGTGAAACTTGTTGCCCTAAGTATAGATCTTGAAGATGAGCACAAAGACTAAATACACAAGTATAAGTCGAATTTTCCCACACCATTTGTTCATCCAACATTTTCTTTAAAATATCTATAGCTTCAGTAAAGTATCCATTCTTAATAAGTCCATTCAAGATGAGATTATAAGTACAAGTATCTAATCCAGGAATTGAAACTAAAACCTCCATAGCTCTTACCACATCTGACACCATGGAATACAAACGTACAAGTGAATTTTTCACGTATTGATAGAACACTAATCCAGATTTCATCACGTACCCATGACACTGTTTGCCTAATTGAATGTTCCCAATGTTAGAACAAGAAGAAAGAATCGAAGCAAATATATACTCATTAGGCTGGCAAAACTCATCGTTCTCAGAAACCATTGATTTGAACAATCTTAGAGCTTCAAAAGAATACCCGTTTTGGAAAAACCCCGACATTAAAGAACCCCACGAAACTACATTTCGTTTGGTCATTTTATCGAACACATGGCGTGCAGATTCTAGTTCTGCACATTTGGAGTAAAGATCGATCAGTGCGTTAGTCTCGAGGATATAATCTTCAGAGGTTTGATTAGAGACAATCAAACGAGCGTGAATTACTCTTCCGAGGTCAAGATTTTTAGTCCCGGCTAAGTATCGTAGGAGTTTGACAGTGTCATGTTCAAGCGCAGTGAAATGTGTCGGCCGTATTAGGGTGGAGATTGCCATAATTCCTCCGGAATTGACTATAATGGAAGAAAATCAGTATCAGAAGAAATCATGTTTTTGATCTTTTCCTTCGTTGTCGCAAATTTGACTTTAATAGTATGTTGTATGTG